AATATCAAAGCCTTGCTCCCAAATATTACACTGTGGGGAATGATACCGACCCGTAACTGAGTTGTGACGGTACAGGTTGATAAAGAGTATGGGAAAATTGCATGATCGCAGTCATGATGTCATTTGGTAAATATTATCCAATGTATTTTCTTTTGCAATATGAAGTTAAATATATTTTATTATAACATATTCTATTATTACTTGTATCTATCATCGATAAAAGATAAGACGCTAACCTTTTCAGAATACCTCAGTTGAGTTAGACTATGAAGGATTAAACATCTCTATCATTAAGTATTAGATAAACTGAAAACACACCTTTCTCTCAGTTAATATACCTAGTTCAGATAACAAGAAAATATCTACAGGTGAACATAACCATAATCTAAACTCTAATCCCATACAACTAGTTCAACATATGAACTAAAGAACAAAATACACGGAGACATCAGAATAAAACTGAAAGGAGTATAAGACCATACGGTTTGGAAGAATAAGCGTCTACTTTGTCATGTAAAACTTGGTCGATCCAAGTAAGTAATGAAATAAATATACTAAACATATACAACAAAAAGATGCTAAAACGCAAGGCTGAATAATGAAAACTGCATCAAATAAATCGTCATATTTGTTTGCATTGCGCAGATGCAAACGTGTTGTGACGCGATCAGAATCAATTGGCTTAGCTACATCTATACAGAATTTTGACGTGTCAAATATCGGACATTGGGTTTTGTGTGGGATTGAGTCCTACGATTTCCCTATGAAGATAATTAGTTTTTACAAAGCATATAAAAGGACACTAAGCTTGTACATACAGAATAAAAATACAGAATAAAAATGAGGCATCACTGAGTTGTTGGCACGCATGATGTGAACGCAAGTATTCTTGTAGATTTTTAGTAAAATAAAAAGAGTTTTTGGAATGTCTGGTTAAAAAACATAACGGGATTAATGTCTTTTATGCGTACCATGAGAGATTTAACGAAATAAAATCTGTACGAAGAGAAACATATGCTATAAAATACAAAAACGAAACCAGGCTAAAACGAGTTTAGTTCTGCAAAGAGTGCAACAAATCAGTTTTGCTTCAGCTATGTCCTATGACAGACGACGATTTAGAAAGTTCGCCTTCTGTACATCAACATGAGCCGCTTAACATTTACATTCAAACCTATACAGCATTTATATTTAATATGTAAATACGAATTGAATCATTAGACATTTCGATAGAGTTGTAATAGGTTAGATAGACACATTAAGCTCAATTAGAGATATTACTACATGTTATGTTGAACGCAGTTACAAGTTTCTGCATCGGTACAACCGAGAGAGCTTATGTATATATTTAAAATTAGAGTGAAGTTTTGAGGTTCGAAATCAGAAGCAATGTTTTAATGTAAAAAACTATATTACTAGGATAGAACATGAATTAAGATTTACTTAGTTACTCCTGAAAAGGTACAAGGAAAGTAAGATCACGTGTTCCGGAAGGGTAAGCACCTTCTGCTTCATCGACGACACCTACCATGTAAATCTTTGTCAAGTCAAGTAAGTAATGTCATGTTTCAAATGAAAATACCAACGGAACCACCAGACAGTCTAACAAACTCGCCTTACTTAATTCCATACAAAGAAATAGAATATTACCAAATACAACATTGTGACGAAAATAAAAGTTAAAAACCTTCAACCTGCATCTCTCAATAGTATGTGTTGTCAGTTTGTCTGTCTGAAAATTGTGTTTTATAGGGAATATCACACGGTAAACAGGGAAATTTGAAAAGTATTATGAAATAACGAATTGAAGAGAAATCTGTAGAAAAATTACAATTTGAATAAGATCATATAATCGTTCCGGATTTCAAGCGACCCGCATGCTTTGATCAAAATGATTTTCCAAAGTCATATTAGATACAATTTACAAATGATACAGAACATTTGTTCCAACAGTCAATGACACTTTTTTCTTCGGGATGTGATAAAATCGAAAACACTATTCTGTTGAGTAACAATTATGTGAGAAAACAAATATGTTTAACCATTAATCACTGTAAGGATAGTTTCTAATGATCGAAGGTTTACAAAGAACATGAACAAAAATGTACATCTTTTTTTTTGAAGGCATAACACGTCATATCTTACAACTGTTTTTTTTCAATACCACTGTATCAGTTTTTTTTTCGTTATTTCATTCAATCTTCGAGAAAAAATAGAAAATAAAAAAAAACACCTGTAGTAAGACATCTTTGATAGAGTGAAATTTGATGATCGTTATAGTGATAACATGGAGAAATATTCTATTTCATTGTGCGATATACGTATTTGACGTCAATGTGTATATTGTTCTCATTTGAGATCGTGACATTACTTACTATATTGACCAAGGTTTACATGGATGGTGTCGTCGATGAAGCAGAAGAAGCTTACTTCTCCAGAACACCTGGTCTTATTCTCCTTGTACTTGTCTTAATGTAAATCTTTCTTTTGCTAATATTTTGTCATAGTTTTATATGAATTTGAGTTCCGATTTTAATTATCTTTACATTTTGGTATTTTTCGTTCTTTAATGTCACACCATTAAGAAAAAAGGTACTACAAAACGGCTGTATCTGTTTGATTTTGTCCTTAACTTTTTTAATATATATCCTGTCAAAGTGTGTCCTCTGAAAAAAATATAAAATATAAAAAAAATCCTCTCAAAAATAGAATTCCAAGACGAGTGTCATAAAATACTTCATAGGAAAATACTTCATAGACCTTGTCCTAATATTGTTTGTTTACAGTTAATGGATTTTGTTTATATAGTTATGAAATATGATCGTTAATTTTGTCTTATAAAGTGATTTCCGCGATTTTGGCATCGCCTCCTGCTGCTGCCGATAATCTAGTTTGGATTTCAATGTCTATCAATGCCAAGCTTAATTCAATTTTGTTAGCATTGATCAAGTTTGAAGTACCTGAAGACTCTCTTGAGTGACAAATCCCGATCTCTAGCGGAAACCCACGTTCGCAAAGCTGAAACAGCTTAGAATTTAGATCGTATTATGCTGCTCTGATTGCTACTATCGAAAATCTCTTCATACCAATACTCAAATACCATGTGGCAAGAGTCTAATGTATGAAAGTTTTTTTTTAAATAAAATGTTAACAAATTAACGGTAACTTATGTGCAAAATGTCTAAATATCTCAAGTTCCAAGAACAAAATAGTATGTTTATCGAATTCAACGAGAATAATACTGTTGTTTGAATATAAAACATTTATGTTACATATCATGACGATAATGTGAAAATTTTTATTGTAACTGAGCAGTAGTAGGTCATTCAATCTCAGCTAATGTGTTTAAAAAACAACTATTTTGACCAAGTTGATCATTTGATGAGACGAAAACGATTTATTTAACATAAATTTTGTATTACTTCTGTTCGTCTCCATTCAAAAACAATCCATCAAAGACATGCTGCCTTCATCATGGTGCACGAAAGGATGTCCGGATTAGTCGGCGAGGTCTGTTTTCGAAGAATTACGTTTGGAAATACACAACATTTTCGGAAAACTACCCGTGATAACTCAATTAGGAGAGAGAGGACAAGTTTCTGTAAAGGTTGAGAATTATCCCTGAGGAGGAAGTTAATGCGTGTTTGTCTGGACCCAAGTGCTCGATGCCGGAACTCTTATCTGTCTTTGATGAATAACCTTCATCTTACAAAGTCGTAGAGTGCAAACATGCATATTTTTAGCTTTTTGTATATGCCGATTATGAGAGTTTACCATCACTAATGTTCCATTTCAGAACGACTGCTTTTAAAAGCGAACATAAAAAGCAACATTCACATATAAGCAATATTAGTATAATACGTCCAGTAGATTAAACTCAACGGTGACAATTTCAATATATGAATAAAATAACATCTAAACTCAAAGGTGCGATAACCGCCTGACGTACCTACTATATAAACAATAGGAAATACTGATGTGTGAACAAAATCACAATTTTAATCGATGAAGCGAGAGTCTTATGAATAAGAGTAACTCAGATACCTAGGAAAAGCAAAAGTACTTCTCAAATTAAATCACTATAGCGACCGGCAATTACTCTACGTCTATCAAATTGCAACCCTAGAAACCCTGTTTAACATCCGTGAAAAATACACAGAACGATTGTTCATACATGTCATTGTTTTCTCTTCAGACAGTATTTTCTGATGATATGTGGTCTACCAATCTTGGAAATATCAAAAGTTGGTTTAGTCTTTTCACTATTTGAGATCAGCACTTTGACGGTAAAATGATATGTAACACTGTTGAGTTCAAACAAATATTCCTATTGTGCCTTTTGTGAATCGTTCTTTTTTTACTTACTTTTAGGTAGTCTATATATAGGTTCGTTTGAGAGAATAACTTCTCTAGTGCATCATCTGATCAACAACTGTACTGCTATCGCAACAAAGCAGTTCGCGAAACAACATCTTTAGAGATCTATTACAATAATCCATTGTCCTTGATGAATAATACATCGTGTGGTCTATTGTTTAGTGCGAACGTACATGCAAAACCTGGCTTACTCGTAGACGTGTGCACGAGTTGCAGTATCAAATAATTTGATATTGTGCTTTTGGATGAAAAACAGCAGTAAATGTTCACATTGTATATCTCCTGAATTTATAAATCAATAAATTGCCGTCAAGAAATTTGAAAGTGTTGAACTAGTATTCGTTTTTTCTGAGGAAAAGGAGATTGAAATACAACTGAACCGCCATCCAGACTGGTAGTATCTTGTGCGGTCTCGCACCCACCACCTTGTACAAGACCAAGCCAATCATTTGTATATGAGAATTTTCAAAGATATTACAAAAAACTTACAGGTATTCAAAACACCTCATGGTTAGGTAGTATCAAAATATTTATGTGCATATTTGCGAAATATTTGAGATCGAGACCATACAATAACTTCATCAATGTAAAGCGTAACAATTGCAACGTTGTCAATAACTTACTTGAACTTGAACTTTCCATCTTTGAAGCCAAAAAATGGAACCGTATATGTCATCATCCAAATATAGCCGCCCCCACAATCAAAGTAAGGGCGAGACCAGTGTCCATCGTCATACGTCACTGTGATAACCTTGTCCTGCACAGCTTCAAGATGAGTAGTCTGGTTATAGCGTGGCTCAGTAGTCCCTGAAAGTATACATAAAACGAACATAAACATAAGAAACAGAAACAACCTACATGGCACACGGTTATAATCCAAACTCAAATTTGATACATCTATGGCAAAATATGAACAAAAACAAAGAATACATGGAGACTCCTAAAAAAGTACGGGAAGATAAAGACCACAATAAGAGTCATTATTTTGAAGATTATAGGAAGTACAGGAACTCATTTTATCGAAATCATCTAGAAGATGAAGTAGCAAGTATAAAAAAAACACAATTAGAAACTTAGATGATGGATACCATTTTTACATTATTATTTAATACCAATTATTGCCTCCCTTGGAACTGAAAAAATAGGTACTTGTTTTATTGATTTGTACCAGTTATGACGACAACAATATTAACAATTCAACAACTTACAGCGGTCTCATTTATCAATTGAACCCAGTCCTGCTACGTTCTTACCCATCATTACAAGGTACATGATGGGTTTTCAACCACACAATATTAGGAACAAGTGAAGCAATAATTCTAAATTGCATGGTGGAGAAGTCATAAATGGTAATTATTGACTACTTTTATAGTTAATGGCACGACATTGCGTGTTCTTGAAAGCAACTAATAACACTAACTTCTTAAAACCTGTCTGCAAAGGCAAAGGACAGTATCATATATGCTGCCCTTTGCCTTTCAGACAGGTAAACAACTTCATTTAAACAACTTTTTGTTATCGTCTGTTAAATTCCCTCACCGATTACGCAACAATACAATATTACTATGATATGGAAAAAAGACATGACGATCCATAATTTGGTGGGAAAATGTGATAGTCACCTAAACTCAGTATACAACGGAAAGCATATATTTTAGTGGTATTATAACAGCGCAACATTTTTTAACAGGTCTAGAGTAACACAGATATTCAGTATTTAATAAGGGCCGATGTCAATTTAACTTATCCAACTACCTTACAACTGGCACAAAAGTTTGTAGCCTTCGTTCTCGTCCGAAACACAATACAGTTGAAGATTTGAGTTCTGTAAGATTATTTTGTTTCTTGACCCGTTTGAAATTCTATTTGGCCAGGGCATAAACAGATCAATAGCAATTCCAAGCACCTGTTAACTCTAGTTGTCCGTCTGTGTTTAAGACCAGTTGTCTTGCTATTTATCATTCCGACTGATATACATATCTTGCCTGTATCCCTCGGAATTTCAGTTGTGTGCATATGCATAAATGATTAATGTAGGCTTGTTTTGGAAACGTCGCCTTGTATAACTTAACGACAATGACCCTTCTCTCCATCTTTATCTCAACACGACAACAACAATAAGTAGCCCATATGTTGAAACATGATCATAATCCAAACTCAAACTGAGAAAGTAAAGACGATTAAGACAAGGTGTTTCTAAAGAGTAAGTGTCTTCTGCTTCATCGACGACATCCGCCATGTAAATCTAGGTCAACCCGAGTAAGTAAAGCTACGTTCTCTATTGAGAGCAAGATATACAACGATGGAATCAACAAGCGAATTAACGTGCATCCAACACGTTAGGCTTTATACTGCACATAGAAATTGAATATTTGTTCATGTGATCACTATGACGACCGTAAAACATCGTAATAATTTTCATCAAGCTGCATCTGTTGAGACCCTGTATTACGAGTTGGTCCGTTAGTTAGCGACATCTTGCGAGCGCAAGGAAATCGTGATAATGGGAACAGGTCGCTGAATATCGAATCAATTGCGATATGTAAGCATCGCGTTGGTGATGCAGGGATATTGCTATCCAACAATAGAAAATCAACAGTAGGACAATTGAAATCATCATGCTTACTATACCACTTTGTGGAAAGCTGTCCTCCATGTTGGTTTCGTTGTAGGAAAAGATCGAGGTAAGCGGCTGATTTAGAGGATTCTGTCGAGTGTTTGATTTCCAAGTCTGATAGGTATATACGATGGACGTGGTCAATAAATCTCTTGCTATTTAAAGACATGACGTCATCAATGTATAAAATAGTGAAATCAAACAATTTTACCAGGTCTCAGTGACCAGTTTTGATAAGCTTTACTAGATATTCATTCTCGTATGAACACAAAAAAACAAGTTAGCCAACAGAGGGGTTCAGTTACTTTCCAAGCATATACCAATAGCCTGTTGGAAGATCTTACCATCAAACTCGACGAATATGTTGTCAACTACAAATTCGATCATTTGTTATGATTTCGCCCTCTTCTTGTCTGATTGCAGGATATTTTTAACGTTTCAGTCCAGTTCAAAACCATATGTTGCTAACGCCGCCCTTTCATGGAAAATAAAGTTCTCATAATAATAGATTAAAGGAGTTCTCTCAGTGTAGGTGGTGTACAGGGAGGAAAATCAAATGTTCTTAAAGAAGAAATGCTTTTAGAGGAGGGTATTGAAGTCTAGTCAATGCCTTATCACAATCCTTTACTTGTATATTTGTCTTGTAAATCCTGAAGTACATATTTAACATCAGGACCGAGGAAAGCTGATGTGTTGCTTTCATTTAAAATTTCAATCTGCAAATTCTTTTTTTAAGAATGCTTGACCGAATCGATTTGACCTACTCAGAAAGTGACTTACGTAGCATGTTATCGTTTCCTCCATTCTTTTGCATAGTTTTTAACAGAATCCATAAGTATCTTGAAATTCATATACCAATTAACGGGTGGGGTTTCACAATAATTGATGGAGGACTAGTTCTAAGGTCATTTACATTCAGAAGTTTGTTGCAGGGTATGTGTATAGTTGAAAAGTTTAGATGGAATGGGCTTAAAGTAACTGTAGGAAATGACGGGGGTATTTCTGCTTTGAAAGTACGGTGGAATGTTAGCTTTATGCGGTAAGTGCGTAAAGTGCACCTTCTCCCTGTGATAATTGTTGGCATTGGTCGCCTAAAACTTTAGGCCATATGAACTTTATTCTAAATTCAAATTTAAATATACTTATCACTAGCGTGTATTTTGCAGAACCTTTAGAATCATTTAAATCATTAAAACTGTTTTAATTTTGTTCTCTCTATTTTGATCACTTTTCCCCCGATATGAATCGTTGAAATCTCAACAATATGTACAATTAAACATTTCGCAACTTATCTTTAAAGCTATGTTTTTTTATAGAAACAACTCGAATTCACTATCCATGTTTCCCAGCAATGAATGACAGGAAATTGTACAATTTTCATTCCTTGTCACCACATTCAATGCGTTTGTGTTTGCAGTCTTGTATCTTAGTCATGACTTTAACTGTAAGGTGTATTTCTTTTAAGCATTAATCTGCATTTCAAATGATTAATTTTCGTTTTAATTTGATCAAATTCTTAATTAAGTTGTTGTAGAGTGAATAAACAAGTGTAAAATGCGGGTCCGGGTCAAGTATGCAGGAAAAGGTCCAATGACCTAAATTTATTTGAGGAGTGTACTATTACACCCGTTATTAATTGCCGCTTCAATTACTCCCACTAATACTATCTGTACATAACAATTCCGCAGGATTTTCAGACTCAACCATACACAATGACAACAGATTACAAGTGTCTCCACGGCACAATATCAATGATAGAATAATTCTCGCTCACAGTGTCTCCACACACAACGATATAGTTGCAATAGACGCTACTTTATTGTCTTAAAAGCACAAGCAAATCTCCTTATTTCAAGGAGTTTTCTTGACTTCGAGTTGCTAGCCCTATTGTCGACAACAGCGGAGAAAAATATCATTTAACATTGCATTCCTTCGAGCGATGTGCTAAATTTGTGATACCAGTATTAACCTAAAAAGTGGGTATTTTATGTCTAAACAAAGCTATTGGCTTATAAATCAAGCTTGATTGTTGGGATTCTTGTACTCATGGAAACGGCAATCATTTAGGGGATCATGCATTGCCATGGTAACCGAATATCTGCTGATTTAATTACATATAGGTATTGATTAACTGATTGCAAATCAGTGTAGTCAAGGAATGTACTTTGCAATGGCTCTCTCCAGCCCGTTCCTAAATTTGTACGTTTTTGCGGGGTTGACGATAATTGTTAATGCTGGTTTGAGTTTCATGGATAAAGATTGTATATATACCCTGTTACGGTCAATTTAGTCCATTATTGATATCCCTACAGCGACAATTAAAATCTGATGTGAAAAAGAATCTGTGTACACAAACACATATCAGAATAAATCACAAGGTTTTTTTTTCTCTTGGATTAGTTTTAAGAAATCACATTTTTTATTATCAAAAGTGCGCTCGACTGGTAAAAACTTGCGTTTCTATGGTCATCACACAGTCAAAATTGTATGCGTTTATCGGTCGTATTTTAGTCACTTTATCAGAAAATCATTGGTTTCAAAGATAATTTTGCCAGAAATACGCGACGTATGGGCAAAAATGAGAGTTTGCGTGTTATGGACATGCTAGCTGTTGGAATATATCACAGCTATGTGACAAGTCAGTTTCGGGGTGCACATTCATACGATAAATGATTTGTGAATGCATTTTCAGCAGACGTACACGGTACGGGAATGCCCACAAACAGGATGTCCCCTTGTGACGTCACGTCGGCAAGACATATGTATATCGACGTCGCATTAGCCTAATCAGTTCCAGCGATATTCGTCGACTGAAATGATTCCAGGACTTTAACGGATCAGTTCCAGAACCGTACGAAACAGACAGTGACAGGCCAACATTTGCCCGCAACATCCCGTTCTCCGAGTTGCGCCCTAAGCTTGTTGGAAGAGGCACCTGCGATTCACAAACAGGCACTTATCTGAAGTGCTAGTCATAAATGAGTCTTTCATTTATGAAATATTCATATTCATTAACATTACTAAATTAATTAAAATAGCGTCATTTAGCAGTATTACAACGTATGTGTTATTGGGGTACGTCTACATCAGCAGAACGTTGCCGTGCTAGCTTGGCCTGCTGCATATTTAGGATGAAATGGAGCGACGTCTGAGTCAAAAGTCAAACCTTTCACCGACGTTGGAATCATAA